GAGGACGGCAGCACACTACAACTATCCAGCTACATCAAGCGTCTAAAAGGCGGATGGCCTTCTACCAATTACCCAGACCAAGGCAGGACCAAGGTAACTCCTGCCAGTTTGCACCGCTGGTGACATTTCTGCTCAACTTTTAAGAGATGGAAATACTACAGTAGTAGTAGTAAAATACTCACATAAAATATAGAAATTGCCATTAAAATCTGAAAGTCAGGTTCAGAACTCAGGTCATTGATAAGCTACCAGAAAGACCTACCAACAGTATCTTCAAGCAACTCCTACAGTTCATCAGCCAATTCATGTAAGAGTTACATTTGCCTAGATAGATTTTACACCTGGTGATTGAACTGGACTGTTATATTAAACTGAAATATGAAAAAAACCTTATGCTGGGAAATAAAACTTCAGAATGAAAAAGCATTTAGAGATGACAGATCTCCAGGCTCCAGGGCACAGCAGTGGTAGTCTACCTCACAATTCCTACTGCACCCTCGTCCTGGAGGTACCCACTCTACTCAAGGATACTGCAGCTCTTCACATAGCAGTGGCTGACCATTACAGTTCACAACTGTTTCGGTTTCAAGGTAGCCCGAAGTTGGTGTTGATTTATTTTAACAGTACTAAATAGCATGAACTGCAATGATTTGGTATCTGTTCCACCGGATGGGAGATGAGGTGACCAAAGCCTTTGATGGGTACAGCATAGGCAGATTCTCCCTCTCTCTTAGAGCCTCTACATTCCATTGCCATCAACCCATTTTAGGTATCTGCAGTCAGAGGACACAGTCTCTTCAGTACCCTACCACGGGACTCCCAATAATGGCTCACAGGTGTTCACTGGACTAATTCTGCTAAAAATTCCTAATTCAATGTCTGTATGCTACGTGAAATTTGCAGTCAACTACTTGCCTTTTCCCTCCTGTGTTAACAACCAGCAAACCATCTGACGAAAATACCACAATTCCACAACTGCAACAGTTTTTTAAACCATCTTGTCTCTTCTGCCATTTAACTTTAAATTTCTGAGACTGTGGCACCAATAGATAGTGCAGAAGTCAACATTTAACACTAAAGTAATACAGGCTGGATATGCTTGTCTTATTTCTAAACAAGCATGCCTAGATTAATAATAAACTTTGGCCAGATATATATTTTAATTTGCATGTTTTTCTTACAGCATCATCATCATGTGTGTAGAGTGCTAAAAATGGAGTGAAATCTTCCAGCTGTAAAACAGTTCCACGTGACAAAACAGAGAGAGATCCTGAAAACTCCTGCTTTGTGTCATGTGTGAGCGTGTCTGCCTGTGTCTTTTTTTCCTCTCATCTAATTTCATCTGCGAGAGACTGTCCCTAGAGGACAAGAGAAGAGAGAACCAATTATATCCAGAGGTTGGTTTCTCCAAAATGAAGGCATCTGTTCCATGCCAACGACTTCCACATGGAAGAAAAACAGAACTTTGAAGGCATCTGCGTTCATGGTTGACAGTCGCGGATCTTAGGGTCTACTGTAATTGCCCAGCTGCAAACATGATTTGGTTGCTGCTGTTGTCAGCTGATCTCGCACTGAAAAGAAGGGAGCTTAAATAGCAAATAGCTGGATAAAAAATCAGATATTCTTAACAGAATACTGACATCTTTTCCCTTCTGAAGGAGTATTTTTCCTGGTGCAACGAGTTTGATGGAAGTAAATTGCAAAGTGGTCTTTAAACTAACATTTTACAAAGTATTCTGCTTTAAAATGCTACTCTTTAAACAACGTACGAGTCCGAGCACAATGTGCTCATTATTTGTTAGTATTTCAGGCTGATATTTTCTAAGAGTGATTCAGAAACCAGTATGATTCACCAGCCACACAGTCCTGCAGCCCATCTTATTTAGGCAAGGAGTCTCAGTAAAACCAAGAGTACACCTGAGCAGAAGCTCAGTTTTCACCCAAAACGCATATGGCAGATAAACAACTAGTATGATATTTAT